TGGAGGGCTCTATAGAAATTTGGCAACCTATTGAACGGAGTTGAACTGAGAGAGCGTGCCGTTCACAGACACCAGAATGAATGAGTTCACAATAACGTTCATCAGGCAGTAATACAGTACGTTCAGTTCACGTTCGCCCAAAATATGAGTTCATGAACTTTTGTTCAATGAACGCGTTCAGGCACAACACTGTCCCTAGGTTTGACAGGAGAAAAACATGACTAAGACATTGTTGATGGAGAAGACTTATTGTTTATAAGGAATGTTATTTCTGTCCTGCGTAGTAAATTAGAATGATTGAAGGTAATTTACAGTAAGTTTCTTACTTTTTGCCCCTTTAACTCATGGACCCAAAGAAGAATAGGGACTGCATGGCTGCACCTCAAAAACCAAAAAGTGTTTTTAACCTAAATATTGGCGTTATTATATACATCCAACATCTGTGTCTGTTTTTCATAGCAGCTGTCGGAAAAGTTATATTTCTTCCTGTTGATAGCATCTTTATTATTTAGTTAAAGTCTAAATTCCAATTAGCACTTCTGAATTTCTCCCCAGTACTGCGATCCTCTGATGCATGTAAACCAATCCCAGATTTACTTTGATTTTTAATATCTGTATATGTCTAAAGAAAAATTAATTGTGAGCAAATTAGGGGTTTAACACTGAGCAGCTTTATTTACAACTTTGTCATTTGTCACATTCACTTGCTAAGTGAGACATTGCTGGCTCAATAGTCTGAAGGAGCTTTTGTAAATGTTACTTGATGCGAGTTGGAGGCTGGAGCACCATGTTCTCAAAGCAAGCTGCCTCCACCATCCAGGCTTGGATCAGAATCTCCTCTTCTCTCTAGTAGAAATAAGAATATAGAGGTACCACAGGCAGACTGTTGGCTCGCTGTGCCTCAAGATGTTCTTAATCAGCTGCCAGTATCATAAATCATCTCCCAGGCATCCCAGAGATGTCTCTCAACCATTAAATCCATGAGCTTTACTCGCTACCACAAGTTTACATTCAGAACAAGCATCCAAAAAGCATGAAATGCAATAGCAAACAGGAAAATGTATAGAAGGAATCCTTGTATGTTTTTAGATCTGATACAGTGAATATACACCCTGGAGGGGGTATGCAATCCCTTATTTGCATATCCAACCAATAGGACTGGGTGCCACACCCTATGGTGTGTGTATACGTTGAAACAAAACCATGTCAGACCCCAACTTACAAATCAGGAAAAGTCAGTGTTTGATTCTCGGGTATTTCGAAAAGTGAGGTTTGCTCATCTCTAAATCAAAATATGCGATGTTCAGTCTTGTCAGACCTCAAGCAGAATTGCACTCTGACAATAAATTCTTAACATATTATTTCAGGCTCTTAAACCCTTAATCCGTGTTAAAAATAACTACAACCATCATTATTCTACCTTAATTCTTCCCTCTATTTCTGTTTATTAACCCCTTGATTACTGAATGTGTATATGTATGCATATATAAAGAAATTGTTTGACGACATTGCTTTGACGAACTTGAAAGCTGGCCTGCCCATTATTGCCGGATTTTACTGTTACTCTTGTGTATTAAAGTCCTTACTTTTTGCATGTATGAATCAGGGGTGAGAAATTTGGTTTCTTACTCTTAAATTTATTGTGACTCAAACTCAATTCCTCTATGATTTGAAAATTTGGTTTTTTTAAACTGCAATTCTATTGCAAATGTTAGCAATTGCCTAGCAATATCAAGAAGTTAATAGAGCACTTTCCTTCAGCAAAGAAAGGTGGTAGGATAAGACAAATAGGAAAAGCACGACCTGTGACGTGGTCACAGCTGGACTACATTGTGCTACATTAATTATGGATGCCTTGAAAAAACTGATCTGTCAGCAAATATGAGATTTCTTTAAAATATTGAAATTAGTTCATTAGTTGGTTCAAAGATCAGCCTAATTTAGTTCTTAAAGTTGTGTTATGACTAGTGTTGTGTTAGTTGGGCTTTTTTGTTTGTTTGGCTTATGTATGCTACAACAGCCATTAGTAGCTTACAGTATACCCATTATATGCTGCCATTTCCTGATGAACTTGTTGAAGACTGATGTTTTAGACAGTAAGATTCTTAAGGAGGATACTTTTTCAGCAATTACCACTTCTAAATTCCCAATAAAAACAATTTTCTCATTATTCTCAGCATAAAATGTCATGTTTTTATGCAGTAAAATAATGCCTCCCCCCCAACAGGCTGCAAAGTCCCTTTGTTAAAGTAAAGATATCCATTAATAGAAACAGCCATTAGAAGATGCACAGGAATACATCATCTTTGGGAGAGTGCTGGACATGATTGAAGACAACGCTGACTGTTTTTCTGAAATTTGGATCAATACTAGCTGAAGCATCAAGCTGCTACATGGCTACTTTTCCCTTGCTGTTATTCACAAATCCACTTCATAGTTTCCCATCTGTTCTACTCCTGTACGCCTCTGCTCCTGCTGGTGTTCCTTTTCTCCAGTTCTGCTTATGAAAAAATTTAGTCATAATTAGGGCTGGTTAAAATAATCGATTTAATCGATTTTGGATCGATTCCTTTACATCTTTGCAAAATCAATGTGTAGGGAATGAGATCGATTAGTTTGATAGTGACGCACGTGACGTTCACATTCAAATGCCGACCGAGTAACACACCGCTCAGTAAGCTGTTCCAACTGAAGTCTGATGTCTGGAACCATTTTGGATTTAAAACAGCTAAAGATAATGTGCTGGATATGTGACATTAAGGTGGCTTCCCTCTACACTGATGATGAGCTGTGCCTTGCATCTTGTGCTACAGACCACCACGATGACTTCAAGCCAGACAAGTGCAACTATAGCCAATAGGTTGACTGAAGACATTAACAAATGGGGGCTGACCAGCAAACACCTTGTAGTTGTTACAGACAACGCTGCAAGTATGGTTTGTGCAGAGGAGATAATGCAGCTCATGCATGTCTGCTGTGTCCCTGCTGTGTCACGTCTGCTTGCTCATGTGAGGCTTCACTTTTTCACTTTTCACAAACAATTTTGCACTTTTGAGACAGTTCTTTTCACATCTCAAGTTTAAGCTGTCTGCTTTACAATTTTCCACTTGATGTTTAATAACAGGAAAAATCAGATCGAATCAAAATAAATCGATTTAGAACTGTATGAATCAAAATCGAATCGATTCAGGACTTTGTCCAAAATACCCAGCCCTACTCATAATTTAAACAAACTTTCCATCATTTTTAATTTCTTTTATAATTTTTCATATTACCTGTTTCCAAAAATGCATATTTAAATATTTATTTTCTAATTATCTGTAAATGTCTGTATTGTAAATATATATTTTTCTAATCCTGTTTTACTTTGTTAATGTTTTATTTACAAAGTGAGATAAAAGTTCAGAGCTCCTCCTCAATTTACTTTTTTTTTTTATGTAGCGGTAGTTGTTACGCTTTGTTTACAAGCTTTCCCTCCTTAAACTTCATCTACTGTTAAATTAATTGCAGAGGAAAACAGACTTACGTATGGATTTTCTATTAAACAAAACAAAAATAATTTGGGATTGTGGGGCCAAACATCAATTATATTTTTTAAATGAGGATCTGGACTAGAGAGATATGCTGATTCTGTTGGAAAACGTGACTTCCTTTGCAAATCATTTGCTTTTACTGGAAAGTTCACATGAAGTATTGAGGTTTTGGTTTTCATTTTTCTCAAACAAGTTTTCCACTTTGAGTGGTTGCAGTTAAATTCACGTATTGGTTTCTCTTTGCAGAGAAGCTGATAGCATACCAACGGGAGTTCCATGCTTTGAAAGAGAGGCTTCGAGTTGCAGAGCACAGGACTCTGCAGCGTTCGTCTGAGCTCAACCACATTCTGGAGCAGTTCAGACGGGCCATCGCTGAAACCAACAGCAGCAAAGATGCACTAACAAACTTTTCAGGTAATCAACACCTGTGTCTCATATGTATATGCATATGTGTGTGTGTGTGTGTATATATATATATATATATAAAAAGATTGACCGATACAGGTTTTGTTTAAGGCAGATACCGATAAGCAGATTCTTAGAGCCAATATGGAATTTTCGTCCTCTATTTACATTATGAAAAAATTATACAATGACAATAACAAATGTTACACAGGTATTAATTTACATAACAACAGAAACATTAACTAACAATCAAAATAAACATAAACAATGGATGGAAAATGGTGGAAGCAGCAAGGCATGAGCTATATATGATCCTAAGGCGTGGTTGCAGCTTTCTGAAAGCAAACATTTCCTGCTGCCCAAAATCTTTGTTTACAAGAGTTTTTTTACACCCACATTCCAACCTTTTTCAACAGTTAAACACAAATCAAGAGCAGCAAATTAAATATCGCAATGAAATAATCTACAATTTTCTTTAATTTGCTTAAACTACCAGCTTTAAACTGCAGTTATCTCAAATTAAACTGTGTATTCTACTTTGTAACAGAATTCAATATTGCTATCAATTGAAAAAAAAAAAGTAAAATTAAAAAGAAAAAATCTCCAACTGCCATTTTTCTCAAATAATTTTTTATAATTTTTAAACAGTGGCACTTCACCACCCCTAACACTGCAATAGTGAAACAGCCAATGCATGCATATATCAGCCAGTGCCATACGAGAAAAAAAAAGAACTTAATATTGGTTAGTTTTGCCCCTGTGACAAATTTGCTTAATATAAACGCTTAAAATGCAAAAAATCAAACAGCTTTGTTTTAAAGATTGTATCACAATCTGACTTATCAGAGTTTGAAGGTTTTGCTGGTTTACTTGGGTTTAATAATTTTTAAAGAGTTAAATTTCTATGTATTATTTGTATTTTGTTTTTTCATTTCATTGTTAGAAATAAAAAGCCATAAACCTCACCGACGTCCATGTCTTCAGACAAGTAACTCGTCATCCATCAGATTAGCAGGGGGAAAAATGTTATTTCTCCCCACAAAGAATGCTGCCCCTCTGCTCTAGAGTCCATTGGCGACGTGATTTATACCTCTGCATCAGACACTTTGCATTGTACTTAGTGAATCCAGCTCTTCAACCATGGAAACCCATTCCACGAAACCCTGTACCAATGTTCCAGAGCTAATCTGAAGGCCACATTACCCCATGCACCTTTTCCTCCTTTTGGCACTTTCTTCTTCTTTTTGACTATTTGAGCCGATGTTACGAGTAAATTTCACCTCTGTGAGATCAATAAAATCCAATCAATTGGAGATCTGTGAGTCACGGCAGAAAGTTGCCAACCTCTGCAAACTAGTGTGCAGTGAATTATATCTAAATATTTTCTAATAGTATTATCAAAAAAATTCCAAAACAGAAATTGGATATTGAGATTGTTAAAACCTGTTTTTTTATTTTTTTTGTTTTTTCCTGTTAATCTACAGAAAAAACAACAAATAAATAATAAAAATAAGAAATACCTCTCTACTGCATACTTTTATTTTGGAAGCAATCTTAAAACTGCCATCTTATTTCTTGTTCTTATAAACAGATGTATTTTTTTTTTGGTACGCAGTCAACATAATACAGTAAAGTGTTCTGACTAACTGAGCTAACTATAGTACTCCCCAGTACTGCGATTAAAGTATTACTACAAATCCATATTGCTTCTAAATTCTTTAGAAATCATGTGATAGAAGGTAGCTGATGCTGCTAGTTTCTTTCCAAAACAAGACACTCAGCAGCTGCTTCTTACAGATCAGCGACATATGAGAGGAGAAAATTCACCAATAAAAAAAGCACAGGAAACTAATCTTAAAATATAGTGGGCAAAATATGATTTAAATGTATTTGGGCATTGAAAAAATTAATAAATAAAAAAAGAAAAGGGAAAATAAAACTGCAAAAAGTTTACTTGAATTTCTAAAAACATGGAAAAAATTGTGTTTATGGCTGAAAATTAAGGTTTAGAAATGAAATAAGCATTAAAGGGCAGAGATTCATTAAAACAGTTAAAAAAATGGGAATGTTCTTCATTCATTCATTCATTCATTCATTCTAAATCATTGATTAAATGTCTTTTTTTATTTTGTTGCATGTAGGAGCACACTAATTGTGTCAATATAGGAAAATACTCATTAAACTATTTTGTTTTCATATTTTGAAAAATAAAAAAATTTAAATGTCATACAAATGTAGAATATTAGAAATTACCAAATGTTATGATTTACCACAAAGATGAATATTACTAGCAGCTTTTTGATAGGATCTAGCTTTCAACTGAAGTTTACTGGCCTGATCAAAGTGATGTCTGGTTTTAATGCAATATCTGCCTAAACAATAAGGCCATGTTCACATAGATCTGCTCCAGTGATTCATAGCTCTAGAAATAGCTCACTGTAAGCTTTCTTGTATGGATCTATTTTCAGATGAGACTCAGAAGCTACTGAAGGAGCTCACAAACAGGAAACCTCTCCAGGTGCCAAACATCTACCACCACCTGCCTCACCTTCTGAACAATGAGGGCAGCCTGCAGCCAGCAGTGCAAGTCGGTCTTGGTCGCACAGGAGGTGAGAAGTTTATATATTTCCTTTTCCTCTGAATTTTACATGATTAACCACAAAGCAAAAGTTATTACTCAGTCATCCTTATTACTCCACGGAGAAGCTCAAGTCTCAACATGTCTTCAGACTGTTACTTGTTTACAAATATCCTCTCTGGATTTCCCAGAGAGGATAGCTTTCCCCAAAGGTATTTTTGCATAAGATATTGTTTTCCCCTTTCCTTCAGTCTCCTCTGTGATGTTCTCTTTGAAAGGCATTGCAACAAAACTTTACACTGGTAACTGGACAGTGAAAAATAAAAAGTTCAATTTTATAACACCATGAACCCTCCTATGAATTATCCTCTTTATCCTCCTCCTTACTTTATGATTTTTATGAGCTCAAAGTTCTGCACAATGTGTGTCTTCTCCCAGATGATGGGATACTTTCAGCCTGTTGGCTGCTGATTTAATTTCTTTTATCCTGTAAGCTGCACCATACTGCATGTGACCTTTCCTCCTTTTAGCTCCTATTAGGAAGATTTCTTATCTTCTTTTTGTGCTTTATATGTGCAGAAAATTTAAGCTTGATAGAAAGTAAGCCTGAGGTTTAAGCTGTTTTAATGAACCTGTCCCACTTTAAGTGATTAGAACTGACAAAAAAAAACAGGGGCTCTAAAAAAAGGCAGCAAACACCAAGAGTGGCAAATCAGGAGCACGAAAAAAAAATATTGACATTTTTTCCAGTTAGTAAAGAAATGCTACCTTTTGATTTAGTGTTCAGGTATGACTTTAGAGCAGGAATCTGAGTTGCCATTAAGGGTTATCTTGAAAAACATCTAGGAATGTGTTTTCTTACTTGTCTGAAGAGATGCATAGAGGTAAAAGGCTATGCCCACTCAGACAATGCAGCTTTTTGCATCAGTGCCAAGAGGTGTCCTCTGCGAATCATGCTCTATTTGGTTTATTGTAATGTACAAAGTGGAGATATTAATCCTGGAAGTGATCCATGAATCGGTGAGTTACAGCAACCGCTGCCTGCACTTTTAAATCTTTTACCTATTGAGAATAGATACTGATGTGTGTTAATGGAATTATGTATATTAAGAAAACTTAAGTCTTTTTCCAGTATTTATGTTTCACGGTCTCAGTTTATTATGCAGCTTGACCATTTAAACTATAATATTTGAACGATAAAAACAGTCCTACGGGGATTTTATTTATCTACTTAATGATATTTTGTACTTTTGGACCTCCAGCTATGCCAGCAACACTGCATGCATGTTGTTTGTCACTGGCAACCCTTCAATTTCAGCACTTCCTGTTAAATTGCTTTAGCTCTGAGTCTAGCCTAACTTTGATTTCTTGTTTCAGTGCCAGTCTGAGCGTGTTTAGCACTGGTCTATTTATAGCTGCCAAATCAGGACATGTCAAACCCCAAATTAAACAATGCTTATGAAACAAGGCAGTTTAGGGGGAACTTTTGAGACTGATCTAGCTGGACTCGCATATCCCTGCTTAGATATATTCTCACTATTTAAAGAAAATGGTGGACTGAGAAGGTTGCCCCCTCCCACCACCACCATCCTTCAGTGTCTGCACTGGACAGCTTCCAGGACCATCATATCCTTATTACCTTTCCCTGGCTTCTCGCCATCTCTCTCTTACATTTTCATTTAATATTAAGAACTCCAGATTTGATCCCTCCTTTGGTGAGAAGCCAACTTTGATCACAGGATCTCTGACACGGGTTCTGCTTGTAAAGAGTATAGTAGTGGTATCAGCTGACATACCTCATATTTGCATTGGATGCTTCTTTGTTTTCTCATTTACATTTCCTGATTTAAGAGCCATGTGTTGTTTGGCTTGATATTTGATAACAACAGAGCAAGTCTTGCATTTCATAACTAGAGCGACTTTATTGTGTTGCAAAGCTGAACTGATATCAATGCTACGAGGTAACATAAAGCCATTAAAGTTGGCACAGAAAAAAGGGATCAAAACCTTACAGTACTAACCTCTGGTTTACAGCTTTGTAAACTGCATCAGAAAGTATGTTTTGTAATTTAAAAATCAAATATCTTGGCTTTATTATGGTGTACCTCAAATCTTTTTCGCATAATGCTTTCACAACATAGATGCCAATACAAACACACGTTAAAGGCTCTTCGGTTTGAAAAAGACACAACCAGTCTGATGGACCTAAAACAATGCAGCCACTACTGTGGAACCAGTCACAGCAAAGTATATAGTTTAGTAAAGTATTACACCTGCTTACCAACCTGGCTATGTAACTAACTCTCTAGGTCATGGGGGCTAGAGTCGACTCTGATCCTTAACCGGAATATTAGTAAAAATTTTATTATTATATTGACAAAAGTAACTTGTACTTTTTACCCACTATTTATTGTTTGCAGTTGTATTTAATGCTAGTTTTTATTTTTTTCACATTCAATGTGTCTTCTTTTTTATACTAAGCAGAACCCATGGTGTCTTAGCTTGAGAATGAAACATTTTCAGAAACAGGGTTTCCACGGGTCGTTAAAAATCCTTAAAAGTCATTAAATAATATTGTTTTAATTAAGGCCTTAACTGGCATTAAAATTCATTAAAGGTCATTATCGTGGCATTTAAAATGCTTTATTTAAAAAAAAAAATCGTTTATAAAAACGATTTTGTCAGATGTACTATATCAGAAATAACTGGTTCCAAGTGTTTGCGCGGAAGTGCTTCTGGTTGATTGTAAAGCCGTATGTTAGGAAAAGAAGCTTGAGGCGGAGAAAAGGCTAGAGAATGTAAACTTCAACAAAAGTTACAGGCTGCAGCCTGTCGACGGTAAAGATGACAAAGGACTTGGACGTGTTTTCTTATATATAGATGTATATAAATATAAAAGAGTCATGGGTAGTCGTTGATGACATTAAAATAATTTCTAAGAGCATTAAAAGTGCATTAAATTACAGTTACTCATTCCTGTATAAACCCTGAGTAAATAGTTTAACCAAATTTAGCAAAAGACTGGAGACAATTTTAAATAACATCACTGTCTAGCATGACATATTACTTGGTTTCATTGATCTTAAAAAAGTGCAAAAAAAATTTATGTTATACGTTTATTCCTTCTTCCCTCTGGAGGAATGAGAAGGACAGCAGAGTGCAGCAGGCAAACTGATCAAGGAATGAGGGGAGGTGCCGTCCTGCAGTCAGTCCTGCTGCACATGCATGCATTGTCCCTCAATCATGTTCTGCCATCCTCCTTTGCACTGTCACTCTTGTCTTTTTCTCCTTCCTCCCACTTTCTCCTTTCATCCTCGACCTACTTTCTTGGTGGTGGTGGGTGTCTCTATACAACATGGAGCTTGGTGTGAAAAGCACAATAGCAGAACTAGGACAGATTCTCCACACTGCACAGAGCACTCTAGAGGATTGCACCCCTTCTCGATCCGCTGTGCTGTTCACTCATGCTGTACCTCAGGTTTTGTTGCATGCATTTATTTGGCCCCCATGTGTCCCCTGAATCAGTGCAGTCAGCATGTCCCCCCTTTAACCCCTCCTCCTTCTGCTATATCATCCACACAAACATGCACTTTCTCACAGGGTCTTTTTTTCATTGTTATATCTTGTGATTGATATCTCACTAAAGCAAGAGGTGTCCAAAATGCTACCTGCTACTTATTCACAGTTAAAAAAAATTTTTTTAAAGGTGACATTTTGTTTTCTTTTCTGTTATAAATTTCTGACTAAAAAGAGTCAAAAAAAAAAAAAAATCCAGGAACCATTACCCAAAGGCAGAGAACAATCCTGGCAAAAACAACAAAAAGCCTTAACATAAATTTCTCTTTTACTGTTGTGGAAGAATATTAGACTGATAAATGGAAAAAAATCATTAATTTTATATTCACATATTGTTTTTTTTATTTTTTATTTTTATCTTTTTACAAATGCCCACTATTGTTATAATTGTTTATCTCCTAGTGTGTGTTTTAGATATGCACAGTCTGTCTCTATGGAAATCAGACTACTTTGCTTGTTTTAGAAAACATATCAGTTTTATTTTTAAAAAGTTTAATAAAAATTAGAAGTTAAGTATAAATCTATATTTTGTGGCACCATGAGTACGTCCAACTTGACATTCTCGTCCCCATAACAGGTTTTACCCCTTTTAAATATAGAAAGTTGTTGTGGTGCTTTAGCTTGCTCTGAGAATGCAACTTGCAAAAGTTATGACTTTTCTTTCCATTAGTCTATACTTTGTTTTTTATGCATTTCAATGAGATGTTGATTTATTTAAAAACCTAATGCAGAATACCATAATGTAGTTTGAAATATAGCAACCTTTTTGGATATTTCTGTTAATCATCTCTCCCTGCTGACTAAATAATGGAATAAATAGTGATATTAGAAATCCCAATCTTTATTAAATAGTTTGTTGAGAATTAGTGTTATTGTGCAACAACAATTATGTGTTGTTGCTTTGTTTCTTATAAACTACCTCTATTAACCAATCTTCTCTCTGCCATCTGTCAGCGTTGGCAGCAATTTTATTTTAGTGGATTTAGGTCGACCTAATCTGTTTTCGTCTCTCTGTAAAGATGATTTTTTTTTGGCCCACTCATTTTGGATTAAACCGCTGCCCTCTTGGACCTTTCCCGTTTCTCACCTCACACTGTATCTTTCTCTTAGTTACCATGGTGATGGGAATCCCCACAGTGAAGCGAAAGGTGAAGTCGTATCTGTCAGAGACGCTGCGTTCGCTTATAGACAAGCTCTCAGCAGAGGAAAAGCTTGACTGTGTCATCATTGTGTTTGTCGGGGAGGTGAGAACTTCAGTCGACTGCGATGCCTTTTTGAGAATCGATTTAAAAACAGTGGGTGTAATGTTTCTTCCTGGTACAATCTCTGCAGACTGACCTGGACTATGTCCACAGCGTGGTTGATGGCCTGGAAAAAGAGTGAGTACACTTCTCTGCATAAGGCTTCAAAGCTCTGAAGTCTAACGTTTGCTCATTGTTCGTTCATTGTCTCATCTTTGTCCAAACCTTTTCTTTCCTTAGCTTTTCTACAGAGCTCAACTCTGGCTTGGTGGAGGTCATCTCCCCACCAGCTACCTATTATCCAGATCTGACCAACCTAAAAGAGACTTTTGGAGACTCCAAAGAAAGAGTCAGGTAGGCTAAGCATGTAACATGGCTTTATGATTAAAATTCTTTAATAATGTGCATAATTAAATAATTCTTTTACTCAAAATAAAAGATTTTAGATCAAAAAGTTAGGAAAAGATCAATCTTAAAATGCGTTTAGAATCAATTTATATGATTAAGCTTTAGGTCAGGCCTATTGGAAACAAATCTAATGGGATCAGATAATCAGCAAGGATTTCAGTTTTTTATTGATGCAACTATGCTGATAAATAGAAACATATGCTTAACAAATAGTGCACATAACTCATCATTAGTAAAAGCCTTAATCAGAGGATTATTTAAAGTGAACTAGTTTTGAAGTTTAGTCTTATAAAGAAAAAAAAGGATGGGGTAAAAATTCACATTGATGTGTCATTGTGAAATCTGAAGTGTTTATATTGTCCAGGCCGGGGGCAGTTTGCGCTTTTATGTTTTAGAAAACTAAAATCAGTAATTTGAACATGGCTGACTCAAAGTTTTCCTCTTCCTCCTTATTTTTTTTGGTTCACTGACAAACTTGTGTTTTTGCTTATTAAAGGCAAGAAAGAGGATTCTTTGGTGGAAGATATGTCCAACGGCTGTTTGTGTATTTTTGAATTGTGCTCATGTATCAGTGCCCCCCCCCCCCCCCCCCCC